ATGATAATAATGATGTTAATGATGATGATGATAGCTTACGTGTCATCTGTGGGACACTGACTTTTGCGGACAGGCTTCAGTCTGGGTTGTTACGCAATGAGATGCTACTCTGTGACGTAACAGTGCTCCCGGCTCGCCTCCCCGTCGAAACTTGCCACCCATTCAGTCACTCTCAAGGCACACGAAGGAAGAGACCGTTTCTCTGATTCCCCCAGAGCCTTCTGTGAACTAAGTATGTCTACCTAGTACCTTGTACTATCTTGTATCAAGATTATTCTTTCTTAATTTCAACTAGGGCTACGCCAGCCTTAGCCCGTAATGATTGTGCAGAAAAATGTATAGTGGGAAATGGAAAGTCATGACATTGTTTATCACGTGTAGGTATCGCTGATAATCTAATCGCGCACGTTTTACATGATAATATCACTTTTATCTCAGTCACTGCAATTCTTAAGGTCACTAATACAGATAAGTGTCTAGAAGAGTTCAGTATAAGTGCAGTATACCAATTAGAAGGACAGTCATTATTTCGTCTTCGTGTTATGAGTGATAGCTAGGTACAACATTGGTAGTCTAGTCACACACGCTTCACATAATGCACCTCTAAGCCTGAGGAACATTTCGAAAGAATACTGAAGCACCTGCAGCGTGTTTCTAAGCTTCTAGCTGCACTTGAGAAAAGGATTAGCAAGTCTCGGGATGGGGGAACCGTTTGCTGTCGTCAGCGAGGGACCGGCACTGAGTGACCTTGCTGGGAGGATTAAGGAAGATCTCCCGGCTGGTGAGCCAGTAAGTAACTTCCTGTTTATATTTCAACTTTATAGTTTTAATCTAAGTATCTTGATGTTCATTCATGAAGCTAAGGTCATGTGAATATTATAACTATAAGCCACACACAGACACTGATGCTAAGAGTAATTTTGTTTTTCATAATTTAATGAAATCCATATAAATTTAGAACACAATGATCACATCTAATTCCTTCCAGGTGTATAATATTCTGCTGTTTCATGCCCGTGGCCATGGCTATGCCTACACTTTCTACACGCTCAAAGATCACCCACACACCCACGTCATTATGTGGCGCAGCAAAGTGAGTTAAAGAAAAGGGAAAGGTCTTTCTAGATCTCTGGTCTGTAAATATTGAATTATTTAACTATAGATCCAACTTCCTTATAATCAGTATATAAAGACACTGACAAATATTTTTTGTTTACTGATATGTGACTCATCTCTTTTAGACACGGTCACACGAGCGCTGTTTTCAGCAATACGTTTGTGATATGATCCGCTATTCGATGTTACCCTGTGAGCAATATTCTAACTCGCCGGTCAACTTAACCCTCTCCTATCCGCTCGATTTTAGCGACAAGCGGTTGCCCGATTGGCCCTTCTCGCAGGTCACTTTTAATCTGCTGTAGAAATGGAGGCACAGCGATTACTAAAACGACGTATGTGGGTTCGTTCGAGGTTGCAGAGAAGAAATGGTGGAAGTGTCATAATCTGTCGCAAGAACTTCGTTTGGAGGATAGATATAGGCAAGCTCCTTTGAAGATGTATGTAAGTAATGATGACGTCACGGATACTTTCATATGGATTTGCGTGTAAAAATAACAAACCCTTGAAAAATGCAATATCTATTTAAATATTATCTAAATTGAAGTATATATTTGTGTAGCTGAGTGATTTCATAGCAGACTACAGGCCCGCTTCGCCGAATTCCAAACGATACAAATCGCCCGCTTCTCTTGTGACCAAGTAATAGATTATGCGAACTCGGAAGATGAAGGAAGTAGAAAAGTCGAAGCTACCTGCGACTTATCGTTGAAAAAACGCTCGTGTGACCGCCCTTTTAAACATACACTCAACTTCCTCACTTCTAACAGGACGGTACGGAACTCGGTTTTCACTGTCAGGAGAGCGAGGTAGAGCTCCTGAAGGCGGCCCTGAAGCAGTCGCTCTTGTTCTCTTGGCAGGCGCCTTTTGAGATTGCTTGTGTGCCGGCCTATTTGATCGCCGCCATGCAAGAGGTGGCCAGACACAAGACTGGATGCTACCTATCGGAGACAAAAACTCTTGTCTTTAGTTACAAGTCTCCTCAAGACGACGAGCCTCTTAGGTACAGGGAGTCTGGATTTCACAAAATCATCATTTATCAACTAAACTTGCAAAGGGCGCGATACAGTAAAACAAAACTTGCAAAGGACGCGATACAGTAAACTATACTCCTTCAATTACAATGATGGCATTACAATCCCTTCATATGCAACATCCCTGTTCTTATCGCTTTCCTTACCGTGAGATTTCTCTCCTCAGGTGCCGAGCGGGGTTGCGTGTGCGTCGGCTGGGAACGGCTGCCGTCCGCCGCATGCTGGAGCACAGCAAGTACGACAAACACAGGCCTCTCGACACCACGGTTCGCTTGGCCCAGAACATCGCTTCGGCTGGCGTCTACGAGTGCCCGGACGCCAAAACTGAAGAGGTTATCGACCCGGAAGACGTGCCCGTCGGTGGGGAAGGCGAGACGCCTCTCGCATATATTAGCATCATATTCTATGGAGGTTTGGCCATGCTCATGACGGAGGAGGAGCATCGTGGGCGTGGGCTTGGAAGTCTCGTGACTCAGGTCGCGGCCAAGATGCTTGAAGCCCAAGGATACGCCCCTCATGCCTATGTGGAGATCGATAACGCAGTGTCTTCTGCGATGTTCAGCAAGCTACGAGGCTGGCGCATGACGCAGAGGGCGTCCTGGTTGCATCCTCCCTTCATCCAACCTTTGGACGCCCACGACACTCGAGAATAGCTGTAAAGACAGGTATCAAAAGTGGTATACGGAATTTATGTTTTTCTTTTTCGTGCAATATTTTTGTCGAAGGAAATTGAAAATTACATAGGGTAGAAAATCAAGATAATTATCAAAATCGTGTGGTATGTCATGGTACGTATATTTTCATTACTATCCATTACCAATGATATGATTATCATATTAGCTGTGGAGTACTAGCATGGTGTTACTACTCATAACTAAATTACAGTGGATACACACACACACACACACACACACACACACATATGTGTGTGTGTGTGTGTGTGTGTGTGTGTGTGTGTGTATATATATATATATATATATATGTATGTATGTATGTATATATATATATATATATATATATATATATATATATATATATATATATATATATATATGCATATATACATATATATATATGTATATATACATATATATATATATATATATATATATATATATATATATATATATATATATATATATATATATATATATATACATATATATACATACATACATACATACATATATATATATATATATATATATATATATATATATATATATATATATATATATATATATACATACATACATACATACATACATACATACATATATATATATATATATATATATATATATATATATACATATATATATACATACATATATATATATATATCTCCCCATGTATTTGATGAAATATGTATTTACAGAAATCAACTTCTGTCCCTCTTGCACTTTCCCTTTTTTTTTTTTTTTTTTTTTTTTTTTTTTTTTTTTAATAAATGGCTGTATTTGGGTTTTGGTCACTCACCATGTTCGCTAAATACAGTACTCATGTTCATTTCAGATCTTAAACATGATCCCAAAGTCGGTATAAAGTCTGCTTAATGAAATGTGCGTATATGTGCAAAGCCTCCAAAATTTTACATTTTTTATTTATGTTACTTTTATTTCTACCTCATACTACACTAATCTAACACCTATTTGAGTGAAAATTACCATTTCTTGTTTATTCTCTGATATCATGCATGCATATAGGTAAACAACATGATGATTTTAGCACATCTTGAGCAATAAATCATGGTGAAAGGAGTTATTGGCAGTGTCAAAATTAACGCCACTAGTATTGAGCTAAAGATTACCATATGCCATGTACACGAATAAATTCGTATATCATCATGAACGTATAAGAGTATAAGAGTATTCACAAGGGTGACAAATATTCATATCTTTATTGACGCCTTGGATGTTAATGTATCACAAGAATTATACTTTGTGCATGAAATAAACCCCGTGCATCTCCTGCCAGCCGGGGAGATTCTTAAACATCATGACAGAAGGGACATTCATGGCCTCGGCGTGGGCGTGCGGAACGTAGCCTTGGCCAGCCAGCATCCTGGCCGCCACTTGAGTAACCAGCTTGGCCAGACCGCGCCCTCGGTGCCTCTCCTCCGTCATGAGGATGGCCAGGCCACCGTAGAACGAGGTCGTGATCCATGCAACGGGCGTCTCCTCCTCCGGGCCGAAGGGGAGGCTGGCTGCGTCGACGACTGCCTCGGATTCGACGTTCGGGTCCTCGTACACGCCGGCCGAGGGGGCGCTCCTGACGAGGCGCAGCATCTCGTCGAAGTTCTTGTTCTTGTCGAACTTACTCGTGTCCAGCATGTGGCGGACTCCTTTTCTGCCGAGGCGATAAACGCGGAGCCCAGCACTGCACCTGTGAGAAGTGGAAGTATTTTTTTAGGCGTGTCATAATGCGCAGTGTATCTTAAAGCCATAATTGTGCAATAATATAGCTTCCGTAACACTAACAGCTAATCTTTCCATTAGCAATACCATCATAACTACGATTACAAGCAAATCCTTGCATGGGCATAGTCAAAAGAAAACTCATCTCACCTAATTGGTTCCTCCAGCTGGGGTTGATAGACGAAAGTGTAGCATGGGGAAGGATCTAGTTCCTGACCCGCCCTGGCCGCAGCTACTGCCTGTACCGCATTCTTCAGGTACTCAGGGACGTGGTAGATACACAGCCGTCCTTCCCAGTCTAGCAAGCGTGTCTGGTGCAGAGCCTCCTTCAGCAAAACAACTTCCTCTTTGCGACAATGGAGGGCTAGCCAACTATCAGTTTTCTAGAATAGAAATGCTGTTATAGTTTTCAACAACCATTATCAGCACAGAT